TGTTGCCGTGCCTGAGGCCACGGTTTTTATCTCGCTCGCAGATTTTACCCGTAAGCATCGCGATGCAGATTTACCGAGGCAGCTCTTGGCTGCCTGCGGCTGCATTGCAATGCACTAATCTAGAAAACCCACATCTGTCTTGCTGCTTCCTCCCCAGCGGCCAGTCCTGGCTCCTGACTCCCTGTAGGTCTTGCAGCGCTTAAACAACTGCCACTTTGTTCCCCAAGTTGCTGATAAATCGTTAATTTCTGAGCATGTCTGCAGTGGCGCAGACCGTCCCCCAACAGGGCGCAGAGACCCCATTTCCCCCAGCCCCCCAAACCGAGCTCACACCCGGCGCTTGCATCTCTCCAGCTCCTTGAACGCCAGCCGCAAGGCACCGGCAGGTTGGGGCCGAAAGTCCCTTCCCAGCCCCACAGGATCTGTCCTTGACCTTGCCCCCACTATCGCCCAGCACCGCGGTGTGCCCCCAACCTCTTCAGCATCCCGCTAGCTGAGCTCACCTGGTAACTGGCTCCGCAGCGACGGTCAATTCATCCCGGCAGGGTTTCCGTGCCAGTGCCGAGGCAGTGCCGCGGGAGGGCCCTGCGCTGTCCCAGAGGCTGTGGGGTCCTCCCTGCCGCAGTGCCTGCTCAGGGCTTGGTTGCAGCCTATCCGATAAATCCTGTGCCGACCCCAATCTTCCCGTGTGGAGAAGCATTGCTGGTGCGAGCGAAGGGGTTTGCTCACAAGGCTCTGTCCGCAGGTCCACTCTGCTAGGGAGGTGGATGGGGACGGTGTTACGGCCTGAGCGTCCTGTTTCCATTTCCCACGCCAGCGAGCTTGGGAGCCTTTTCTTTGTAACGAGCTCACGGGCCTCAGCTGACTCAGGCAACCGACCCCCAGCATCACCATGGGTAACTCGGGGGCTGTGCCATGGGGTTTGCCGTGGTGACTCTTCCCTGCCTCCCGCAGAGCATCTCACCGGGCTGCATCCACACCGTGCTGCTGCTGGCTGAGAAGGAGCTGGTCCCTCACCGCGAGAGGCTGCCCGGGGTGCAGGTGAGCCTGTCCCTGTCCCCTCCTCGTGTCCCCGCGTTGTCTCCTGTGGGAAGAGCAGAGCCGGGTGAAAAGAGCCTCCTGCCTCGGGGACCCTCCGTCCCCTTGCTTGGAGACCTCAGTTCCCCTGCTCAGGGACCCCAGGCAGAGCAGTGCCTCGCTGGGGCAGGTCCCCCCATGCTGGGTGCAGGGTGAGGCCCTCGGGCTCGCTGGGCTGTGTACACGAGCGAAAGCTGCCCAAGGGCAGCCAAGCGTTTTCCCACTTACCTCCAGTGGCCGGACACAGGCACTGGGATAATAAATCTAAACTTGAAAGGGTTTATTGTTCTTTTAGTGCTGCTCAGTTTAATTAATATAATGTGAAAAATTAATGAGCTCGATCACCTAGCCTGGCTGTCATGGCAGATTATTGCAGTCCCGGCGATCTCTCATGCATTCAAACACCGCGGAGCCACCGGGAGATGCTCTGAGCGGAGCTGCCGCATGGCGCGCTCAGCCCTGCCAGCACGCAGCGCTCCCGGGGCCACCGTGCCACGCAGGTTAACGGAGCAGGGTGCTTAGGGGAGGAGGGGGTTATGCCCCCTGTTCCAGGCTGTCCCTGGGGATGTTTCTGGGGAGTGACCTGGCACGGTCCCGTGGCACTTACGAACCCCGTGCCCCGCAGGTGGAGACCCTGGCATCGCTGAAGGCTTTGGGCCGCTACGTCGACAGCTCCCAGCTGACACAGGAGCTGGACGGCGCCTTCCCCTACTGCCACGACGAGTGGGTTCAATTCTTCCAGGTGTCTGTTATCACGCCGTTAGCCATCGCCTCACCTCCCCGTGGTGCCCCTCCATCCCCACCACAGCTTCTGTGTCTCACAGGCATCCTCGGAAAAGCAACAGTAAAGCCCAGGAGAGGGGAAGGAAAAGGAGAGCTCTGAGCACAGGAGGGCAACCCCCTCCTGTCTGATTCTGACTGCTCTTGCCTGTAACTGCCCATCCACCTCCACGCTCCCTTCCTCCTCGGCTTTAACCTGGTGCCCCGTGGTTTTCCCTGCTCTAGCCTGGCACTGCTTCTCCTCCTCCCTCTCGTGGGCAGGCTGCCCTCCCTGCTGCCCCAGCCTCCCCGGTCCCACTGACCGGCTGTGTGTCCCACCTGCAGAAACTGCATCCCTTCACGGCCAGCCTCAGGCAGGCATCACAGTTGCTGCAGAGCTGCATCCACGAGCTGCGGAGCACCGACATGCTGGCGGGGACGCAGGTAATGGGGCAGGTTGTAGGGCTTTCCAAAGACCCTGTCTGCAGTCCAGCACACAGCGACATTTTGCCCTGGTTCCCTAAAACTCGGTGCAACCGTTCCCGGACCAGCTGCTCCTGGCCACGGGGCTGTCCCCTGTCCCCTTTGCTCGTCTCTTGGGGTGCAGCCCTGGGTGCCTGTCCTGTGCTGGCCCGGGAGCCAGCAGGCGAGGCCCCAGGTGAGATGCGTGTCCGACCCTCCCTCTGCAGGATGTGGCCACGTGCATCGGGAGGCACCAGGAGCTGATGCGGAGGGTGCTGAGCGACCCACAGCTGGTGCGCCTGCAGCGCGAGGCGGGGGCCGTGCTGGCGAGGCTGCGCAGGGAGGCTGCCCAGCTCAGCGCCTCGGCTGATGTCAGATAGGAGGGGGCGGCTGGGGGCCAACGCCAGAGCCCCCCAGCCTCCTCTGCTGGCCGACAGAGCCACCTCCTCATGGACAGCCTGGTCCCCATGGGCACGAGCTTCTTTCCACCATGCCTCAGAGCTGGTGCCGTGCTCCCTTCTGCCCTGCAAACTCCCTCCAAGCCTGGAGCTCGCATCTCGGACAGCCCTTTGCAGGTTTTCCCGTCATCCCGGCTGGGGAAGGTGCACGGGTCCCTGGGAGGGCCTCCTGCCCCGCGACCAGGCTCCGGGGCTGCTCAGCAAGGCCTGCAGCGAGCCCTCCAGGCTGGTCTCAGGCAAAGCCACTAGATGGGGCCAAGCCCTGGTGGTGCCGCGCTCGTCCAGCAATGCCGCACTCGTCCGGCGATGCTGCATTGGTCCGGCGGTCCGTGCATGCAGGCAGCACTAATCCCGCTGCTCCCTTCTGCTCCCTTCTCTCAGCTGGGCTGGGCCACACCGACAGCCAACGCTTTCCCGTCCCGTGTTCCCCGACATCCATCTTGCTCCTTGGGACGGGGAGGTGTCAGGGCACCTGCAGGGCCAGGGTACTCTGCTGCAGCATGCCTGGCATGCAGGGCCAGGAGCCCGCTGCCCAGCGCACCCCAGGGAGTGCCCTCATGTCCTGGGTGGGCTCTGAGGATGCAGGAGGCGGGTGGGGAGGAGGTCTCTTGGTTGGCTCCTGACCCGGGCACCTGCCGGCCTCTTGCCAGCCGCACGTGCTGGGCCGTTGCCCGTCTGCTCCCTCGGCTCCCGGCTGCCCGCATGGCCACATGCCACTTCCAGGGAGCTGTCCCATCCAGAGGCTCCTGCCCACCGGAGAGCTGCCTCGGCCAGCGTCCCCAGGGGCCGGTAGCTTGCCCAGCAGCACCCAGCACTGACGGCCCCTTTCCTCCCCAACCACCAGGGCCAGCATGGAGTCGGCCGAGGGGCTGTACAGCCAGCTGGAGGAAGAGCTTCACGACCTGGTGTCCCAGTCCAACAGCTGCCTGGAGCGCCTGGAGTTCCTCCGAAAGGTCCGGGAGCTCGAGGCTGAGTTCGGCAAGGTGAGTTGGGCGTCCCTGGGGTGCCGTTCTGGATGCAGCAAGTTGAAGTTGTCCTCTGCAGTGTTCCCATGGCTGAGCATTTTTGGCACATTTCCTTGGTTTTTGATGATGAAGGAAGCCCAGAGAATAACAGGATTGCCTGAGCTTTGATTTTCATTACGAGGTGACTGTGTGTAACCACGCCTGGGATGGGATGCCCCGGTCGGGGAGGAAGGGGAGCCGCAGAAGCGCTGCTGCCAGCAGCTGGTCCCGCCTGACCCTCAGCCCCGCTCTCTCTTGCAGCTGGGGTGCTGGCTGGACGGGGGGGCAGAGGCACGGCTGCAGAAGATGGGCGCTGAGGAGTGGAGCCCCGACAGCTTCCAGGGCTCCGCCGAGCAGTTTAACGAGTTCCTCATCCAGGCAACAGTATGTTGGGAGGGGGCTTTTCTGTAACATGCATCCCTCGGGTATCGCTGCCAGCAGAGCTGTCAGGTGGCTCCGGCCCCTGCCTGGCGCTTGGCAGAAACTGAAAATGCCAAGTCAGAAACTTTTGAATGTTGTTACACAGTTTGATACAATCAGCCCAAATCCCCCAGGTTTGGAATGAGGCTTCTGGGCAAAACTGGGTGTCCCCAGGCTGGCTGGGTCAAGCTGCAGTTTTCAAACCCAGCTTTGCTGGGGTCTTTGGGCAGCCCTGCTCTAGTGAGGGGGACGGTTGTGCTGCTCCTTGGTGCGCTTTGGGCTGGGGCTGCTGTTCCCAAACCCTCCTGCGCTCCGTCCTTCACAGCCCCCTTCCTCTCGCAGGGCTGGGCTGCAGAGCCTGGATGTCCATCAGGCAACAAATAATGTGGTGACAAGGATTTGTTCCTCCCATATCTCTAGATAGGGAGGCCCTTTAGTTACATGCACCGCAGGGAGGACAAAGCAAGGTGACTCCACTCAGGACAGGACGATGCATTTTGTGCATTTTGAGCTGAGCCAGGACAGAGCAGATATTTTGAGAATCCCTGTTCTCTTTGTTTCTTCTCACTTGCCCAGAAACATTTCCCATATAGTTTTGATAGCGATGCTGAGTGCTGATCTGCAGAGAGCCTCACCTTGCACACACGTCCCAGCGCAGCAGGTCAGCGCCATTCCTCGAGCTTGTTCCTTCCTGCCGTCCCTGCAGGCTCAGTACCAGCATGGCCTGGCCCTGTGTCAGGAGGCGGCTGAGGTCCGAGACGCGGCTTTCCCCGAGGCAGACCCCTTCCAGGTGGCTGCAGCCCTTTTCCGGACGAAGCTGATGAGTTTCTACAGGCAGGTGGAGCGGCGGCAGGCTGAGCAGGAGCTGCTGCGGGAGCTCGGCCAGTTCTCCAGCAAGGTGGGTGCGTGGGCTCTCCTC